TATTAAGGTCATTAAGTCAAAAAGAAATAACCCCTAAAATAAAATACTAAAACTATAGTGAGAAATGGCATAATACAGACCAGCATTTATATATATAAATAAAGTTGTGTGAGAGTAGAATAAGAATAGAATAGATTTATTTATTTAATTAATTACCTGGTGAGGATTCCTATCAAGAAGCAGCATCATAGTAGTAACCAGATGCTCTTGTTGCCCATTAGATTGTTTCTTTGTGTAGAATAATACACCAGACTTTATCTTTTTTCTGTATTTGGATCTGTGTTTTATGTATGTTAGTTGTAACAAAGTGTCTAACATTCAGGCTTTATGTTTAGGGAATTTTTACATATGAGAGGCAGCTGAAGGACAAATCAGTAAAAAAATCTTTACCAACATTCAAATATAAAGATTTCTAACTATTCCAACTATACTCAATCTTCATGTTAAGCAATGTTTTCTAATATAGATCATTGAATTGAATTTGTCTTAAGATAAGGCAGCTAAGTAGAATAAGACAGTAGATTGTGTGTATCCAATAGATACAATGATTAGGAACCTTAATTGTCTACTAATTTCCTGACTAGAAGCTGTAATCCTTAATTTATGGTAATTCTGGAAGGAGAGATATAGTCACCTGGCTTGAAGAAGATAGATATGCCAAAATCAATAGCTTTCTCAGGACCCTTAGATTTCTCAGATCCCTTATCACATATCATAAATAATGGATTTTTCATCTTCTTCTTAACTCATTTCTTACTGAACTCATTCAACGATTTCATATATGATCATGTGGGTAATAGATTAAAGATATTAATAATCAAATGGAAGAGACAACTAGCATATGATCCCTTCAACCTTTAAAATAAATAGAAAAAAGTAATTCACTGTCAAAACCATGTTTTCAATTTGTATCAAATCTATACATAAGCTTAGAAATAAGCAAGACACTTTTGGTCCCTATAGTTCTAGTTTTCCATAATTATCTTTTTGGTGATGCTTTTAATAAAAATAAGTATTTCATATAGTATAACTGTAGTTTCCAAGGATGCTTTTAGTAATGTGGATATGATTGCATTATCTAATTTCTAAATAATAGTTATATATTTGTTTGTAGCTAGTCATTATGTCAACACGTAGTGATAGAGATTGGATGTACAAAAGGTTAGATCATGGGTATCTTAGCACAGCATATCATGCATCCGTCAAAGGATTTTTGGATGTTACTTTTTCTAATGAAGCAACTGTTGATGGGGATTATATTAGATGTCCTTGTTTTAAATGCAAGAACATGTATTATAAAACAAGAGGTGATGTAGAGCTTCACTTGTTACAAAACGGTTTCACTCCTAATTACACAACTTGGTGGGCACATGGTGAAAGAAATACGATATCTCAGCATGAGGAAGCATCTTCTAATCCGATGCAGGATCCGATGGAAGATGATGATGATGATGATGATGATGTTAATGGGTGTACACAAATGTTGATGGATGTAATGGAGGAACTCCCGAATCCAAATGCTAAGGGGTTCTATGATATGTTGGAAGACGCTGATGAACCTTTGTGGGATGGATGTGAAAATTATTCAAAATTACAAGCTGCAACAGAGTTGTTGCATTGGAAGTCAGAATACAATATATCTGAGGCTGCTTATGATCACATACTTCCTATAATTAAGCGGATGCTACCCAAAGGTGAGAAACTAGTTGAGAACTTCTATGAGACGAAGAAGCTTTTGAAAATAATTAGACTCCCAGAAAAAAAAGATCCATGCTTGCAAAAACCATTGCATGATATTCTATGGGGCAGATTCTGATTTGACTAAGTGTCGAGTGTGTGATCATGATCGGTACAAGAGTGGCAAACTGCCTTATTTGGTTATGAGGTACTTGCCAATTGCTCCTAGACTCCAAAGGTTGTATTTAACAAAAAAGACGGCAAAGCAAATGACATGGCACTATGAACATCAAACGGAACCGGGTTTGATGGTCCATCCAAGTGATGGTGAGGCTTGGAAGCATTTCGACTCAATGCATCAAGAGTTTTCAAGTGAACCACGGAATGTTCGCCTTGGGCTATGCACCGATGGGTTCAGTCCAAATAACTCAAATACAACCCCGTATTCATGTTGGCTTGTTTTCCTTTCAATTTATAACTTGCCTCCTTGGATGTGCTTAAAAGAACCATATGTTCAATTAAGCATAGTTATTCCTGGAAAAAAGAGCCCAGGTCAAAATATAGATGTGTTTCTCAGGCCGCTAATTGACGAGTTAAAGATGCTATATACAGACGGTGTTGTCACTTATGATGCTTCGACTAAATGCAATTTCACAATGAAAGCTATACTTCTTTGGACAGTTAGTGACTTTCCTGCTTATGCAATGTTATCGGGATGGAGCACACATGGCAAGTTAGCATGTCCGTATTGTATGGGTGAGTCGGGGTCGTTTCGGTTACACCATGGTAGTAAACCATGTTGGTTTGACTGCCATCGAAAGTTTTTACCTGAACAACACACATATCGGGGTGACAAAACAGGATTTCTGGCTAATAAGGTTGAGCGATCTAGCCCCCCACCAATATTAACCGGTGATCAGATTTGGGAGCAAGTACGACACTTTCCAACTGTTTATGAAGGCAAACCTTTTAGAGCGAAGAATGCAAAATTGCCTGGTTTTGGGATTACTCATAATTGGGTTAAGAGGAGCATCTTTTGGGAGCTACCATATTGGCGGAAGTTGTTAATACGACACAACCTTGATCCCATGCACATTGAGACAAATGTGTTTGAAAATCTTTTCAACACCGTGATGGACACTCCGAAAAGCAAAGACAACATGAATGCAAGAAAAGATATAGAAATGTATTGTAATCGAGTGCAATGGCATACATGGAAGAAGGGAAATAAGGATATGAAAAATAGAGCATCGTTTTCTTTGAGCAAAGAACAAGTAGCTAAAATATGCCAATGGTTGATTAAACTTAAATTCCCGGACGGATACGCCTCAAACTTGGGGGGGGGGGGTGCGTTAATGTAGATGATAATAGCTTTTACAAATTCAAGAGTCACGAGTGCCATGTATTTCTTCAAAGATTGTTGCCTATTTCTCTAAGAGGTTGGTGCCAAACTCAACATGGGATGCAATTACAGAGTTGTGTACATTCTTTCGTGTAATATGTTCAAGGGTGTTACGCGTAGATGACTTACAACGGTTGCAAACTAGTATTGTTGAAACCATTTGCAAGTTAGAAAAAAGTATTTCCACCTGTATTCTTTGATTCAATGGAGCATCTTGTTATCCACTTAGCTCGAGAAGCTATGCTTGGTGGTCCGGTTCAATATAGGTGGATGTATCTTTATGAAAGGTATATTTTTTACCATACAAAATATTCTACCATAAAACCTATGGAATTTCTAATAAGTCTTTTCCAACATCTTTTTAGGAAATTGGGATCAATGAAAAGAAAGATAAAAAACCATGCAAAGGTTGAGGGGTCCATTGTTGAGGCTTACATGATTGGAGAAATATCGACTTTTTGCTCACAATACTTTTTGCCTACAATTGAAACCCGGTTGAATCGTGAGTCGCGTAATTTTGCCCCAGACATTCCTAGTTATACCATGGTCGACTCTCGATTAAGCATTTTCAAAGTTCCATCTCGAAGATTAGTCGAAAAAAGTGGTCAACGGAGGCCTTTGACAGATGATGAGATGCATATTGCTCATAATTACATCTTGATCAATTGTGTTGAGGTTCTACCTTTTTTAAGGTATGTCAAGTTATCTATTTTTCCTTGATTTCGTGAAACTCTAAAATTTTTGTTATTTTTTAAGGTTGTTTGAAAATTATGTGATCCAAAGCCAACCTGATATGGATGGTGGAGCATTTGAAAGGTTTAGGGATCAACATTTTGCTAAGTGGTTTAAAGATCATGTGAGTATGATACGAGAAAATTTTGTATTACCAAAGTGTCTTCCCCTGTGAATTAGTTAACAAATGAATTTATCAATGTAGGTTTTTCAACAATCAAATTATATCAATCAACATTTGAAATGCCTTGCACGAGGACCATTACGACATGTTAGGTCCTATAAAGGATACTTTGTCAATGGTTACAAGTTTCATACTGAAAAATATGGTGATGGACGGGTCACACACAATAGTGGTGTATGTGTAAGAGGTACTTGTTACAATGAGACTGAGTGTGACTATTATGGGTTGTTGGATGAGGTCTTGGAAGTAGAATATCAAGGCATAGGGCGTTGTGTCGTAGTATTGTTCAAGTGTACATGGTTTAACCCTACTGAAGGGGTACGTGTGGATCGAAAGCATAATTTGGTTGATATTAAATACAAATCAAGGCTAAGAAATGAAGATCCGTTTATCCTAGCGTCACAAGCAGAACAAGTGTATTATGCACCATATCCTGCAATGAAGGATTTGAAAGATTGGTGGGCTGTCGTCAAGACGAAACCAAGGGGTGTATATGATCTACGACAATGTGTTACTGAAGAAGATGATGATGAGGATGAAGAGGACCAATTCTTTCAAGAAAGTGAAGCGACTTTACCTTCTACAAGTAGCGGTGCAAATGAGGTGGCAGGACCCCTTTCTCATGTAATTGAAGGAGAAATAGAAGAAGTTAATGACAATGACATTGAGAGAGAAGAGGATGAAGAAGTTGATGATAACTTGGATGATTCATCCGAAGATGATATTGAAGATGAAAACATATGTGATGATAATTCTGATGATGAGTAATTACTAAAAATGTAGAATGAAACAATGTACTTGGAACTATATATTTTGCCTAATGGACCTTATAAATAACTTTTTAGCTAAAATGATCGTTTTCTTTTTCTATATACATTGCACTTTCATTTATTTGTGTATTATAGCATGTTACCTTCTCTTACTTCTATAATTTTCTATTATAATACATACTTGTTCTAACCAATAGTTTATTAATTCTTGATTTTAAGGGTTATTTTTTGACTAATGGCGCAACGAGGAGCCCGTGGTGGTGGTCGCAGTGGTAGTCACATTAGTGGTCGTGATGCTGGAGATAGAAATGCATCCCAATCATACAATGATGCAGAAAGTCAACCTTCTTCTTCAGTTAGAGGATCAAACATCTTAGAACAAGTTCCAAGTAACCCATCAAAAAGGAAGTTCATTGAAGTCGATTCTGAAAAGGAGTACTAAAGTTAATTTTACAATTGTTTATGAAAATGAATTTACTTGTTAATGATAATACTAATGCTAATTTTTTAATTTTTAATTTTTTGCAAGATTTACGGATCAGATTTCAGTGATCAGAGCCATCACATGTATACTGAAGACGATGTTTGACGGCCCATGGACCTCATGGAAGAAGGTTGACAAAGAACATCGTGATGCAATGTGGGAACACTTCAAGGTTTGTACTTATTATTTTTATGATTTATCAAAGTAAAAATTGGTATAAAGTGAAAAAGATAATTGTATGCGTGATCTACATGTAGGGTTTGTATGTTTGGCCCGAAGAGACTGATGTTCTTGCTCGCAAGGTATGGGAAGACTGTATGAAGAAACGATTTCCTGACGTAATGCGAAGAGCACGTGAAGCATCTTTAAAACTTGCCAAAGCTGCAAATGTGAATGCCTCACTAGAAGGTGATTTAAGTTTGCTAAAGGACTATCGCCTAAATTGGATAAAAAATGAGTATTGGGAAAAAATGATCAATGAAGTGTGGACCACATCCAAATGGAAACGTTTATCACAATCAGGGAAAAATAACAGAAATAAATTAGAAGATGGATATGTTTCCAAACATACCGGGGGTTCTATATCTATTCGTCAACATAAGAAAAGAATGGTAAGATGTTTGCATCTCACGTTAGTATCCACTGAGATTGTTGAGTTTTTGTTTTGTTTTTTAATGTATTACTAATGGATTTTGTAGCAAGCAATGCTTAAACGCCCTCCTACAGGAGTTGAACTTTATGCAAGGTTGCACACTAAACGGTCTACTCAAGAGTACATTACACCAAAGGCAGCTAAAGTTAAGGTATTTTCAATTCTTTTGTAGGAAACAAAACTTCCTACTACTCGGGTGAATGAATTTGTTAAATGTTTGATCCTCTGCCTAGTTGTAATTAAGTGTTTTGTAAGTAGTAATCAACTTTATGCAAGGTTTGAGTGTTATGAATTTAATGGGATGGAATGAACCATTCTATTCCTTAATTCATGTTACTATTTTTTAATTTTTTTTTTGCTATAATAGGAGGCTTATGAAAGTGCTATGGTGGCTAAGTTTGGTGATGATACTAGTTGCCACCCCCTCTTGGATAATGAAACATGGTGTGATGTTTCCGGAGGAGTCAAGAAAGGAAGAATATATGGATTCGGATCTGTGTCTGATCCAGCGAGCTTTTTGGAAGGAACATCTAGTACAATAACATCCCAAGAGGTTCGTTTAATTTTGTACTTTATAAAAATTTCCTATCATAGCATTGTACTTACAAAGTTTCCTATCATGGCATTGTACTTGCAAAGTTTCCTATCATGGCATTGTACTTACAAAGTTTTCTATCATGGTATTATACTTACAAAGTTTCCTATCATGGCATTGTACTTACAAAGTTTCCTATCATGGCATTATACTTACAAAGTTTCCTATCATGGTATTGTACTTTAGGTTGTCTATGAACGTGTACGAAACGAGATGCGTGGCGAAATGGATGCTAAAGCTGCAGAAATGGAAGCTAAACATCAACAAATGCGTGAGGAAATGGATGCCAAAGCTGCAGCAATAGATGCCAAACAACAACAAATTGATGCAAAATATGAAGCAATGGAGAAGATGTATGCAGCCTTGCAAAATATGATGGGAAATTGAAAAGTAGAGGTAATATGATGTTAACCATTAGTATTTGATGTTTTTGATTGACTTGTTAACCTTTTGTATTTGATGTTTTTGATTGTTTTGAATAATGTTTTATAGGAATGAAAACCGACGATGATTGGATGGACATGAAACGAAGATAGCAGCTAAAATGTTATTTTGAAGGTTAAACTTTTTTCTGTTTGTACCTCTTTTGCATACTTTGGATTTCTTGGTTCTAAAATGTTATTTTGAAGTTAAACCGTTGGGAGTTTGATGTTATGTGGATAGTTTCGTTTTTGGATGTTTCTTGAATGACACTTTGGTAAACTTTGATAGTTTTGGTATTGTAATGCTTGGTTGTATCATTATTTGATGTTCTTTAGTATAATAATTTGATGATTGTAGTATTTCTTTTCTTTTAGAATCATAATAAAAAAATAATATTACAAGTTCGTGGTGAGAAAATAAAAAGTATTTTAATGCATGAATTTTGCGAAGGATTAGCTACGGAAAAAAAAAATCATGTCTAAAGTGTGCGACGGAAAGGAAAAAAATTTAATGTATGAACTTTGCAAGGGATTAGTGATGAAAAAAATTCATGTCTAAAGTTTGCGATAGATAAGCAACGGAAAAAAAAATAGTATATGAATTTTGCAAGGGAATAGCTACGGAAAAAAAATATGTTCATGGAAATTTGCGACAGATTAGCGACGGAATGCATTGAGTGACATTTAGTGACATTTAGCGACAGATATTCTATCGCTACCTTTGTCGCAAGGAAAAACCCGATCCGTCGCTAAAACCCTAGCTGAGAAATTAGCCACCTTTTTATTACCTATGGAGTGAATCTGTGGCCGATCCATTGCAAACAGCATTTAGCGACGGAATAGCGACGGATTTTTCCGTCGCTAAAACCTATGTTTCTAGTAGTGTTGGAGCCCTCAAGGTATCTACGTTTCCCATCCAAAGAAAACATAAAACATTTTTCTTTCTCAAATCATGTGCTGTTGGTACTCAATTATTTGTTTATGTATGCGCTTTATGATCTCCATGTGTCTAGGGATTTAAAATGATAAAGTTATTCTTTTAATTTGTGTTAATTCCAAAATTTTACTCAAACCTAGAAGTTACTTATTCTTTGTATTTGGGTCTAATCGAATATTTCCGGATGGTAGTTGTCTTTAACAAGTTGTAGTTCAACTCTGCATTTTACTCGTTTCAGATCTTTAGCTTTATTGAAAATTGAATGGGTTTGGCTTTGTAGAAGTTGGAAAATGGACAAGAGATTTTTAATTTAAGGGTTGCTTGTCCAAGTGCTTGGGGATGTCTACGAGACATTGATTGTAGTTCTCAGTTATGGGTTTCAAGATATCAAAATTCACAACCAATATATATCTACTGGACAGGAAACATATTTCCCACTTATGGGCCTCAAGGTCCAAATCTACAGCCAACAACCGCATATGGGTCGGCCTCACCTTCGGCTAACTCTTATAGAATTAATCCAGTATTGAGGCAGAATAAAAATTTCTCATATTGGACAAGCAACCTTTAAACTACATAAGGGTTCCCTCAAACTTCAACAAATTTTTGTTTGTGTCCAATGTAAAAAAAACTGCATCGGGTTGTGTTCGTGTTCAAATTTTGACACGATATAAACATGTGCTTGTCGTGTTTATTGTGTTTTATATGATTAAGTATGAATTAAATAAACTAATTATTATTTTATGTTATCTTTGGTTCTTTGTTTTGCTTGTCATGTTATAATTAGGTAATTTTCATGTTAGTAAATAAAAATATGGCATCCTATTACATATAACTGTGTCGTGTCGTGCCACACACACACACACAAAAAAAAAAAAAAAAACAATACGATTGCCCGATTCAACACCTCTGGTTCCAAAGCCAGGGTGCGACGGTTCTGTGACGACGCTTTTGTTAGTAGATTTGTAGTAACTACGTTTCTAATCTCTAATAGAAGTAAATAATTGATTTCTTGGATTCTTTTGTTTCAGTAAGAAACACTACAAAAAAAAATGTCAATTAGTGATGAAAACAAAATGGTCATTAACAATGGAAGAAGTCGTCACTAAGTGCTTTAGTGACCAAACTTCTGGTGGTCACTTTTCGTCACTATAGGTCCGTCACAAAAGTTGATTAGTGACTAAAATATAAAATTTGTCACTAAATAGTGACTAAAATATTCTGGTCACTAATTCTGTGACAGCCCATGTCGTCACTAAATGTTGTCACTAATCAATGATGACCGTCACTATTTTATCTAATCAGTGACCAATAAAAGTCGTCACTGTTTTGTCAAATCAGTGACCATAAAAGTGGTCACTGATTTACCAAATCAGTGACCATAAAAAGTCGTTACTAATTTAGGTTGTTATTTATTACATTTAACCCATTTAAATAATTAGCATAGAAATATATAAATGACTAAAAGGTTAAAACACAAATAATCGCATATATATAAAATACATAAATCACTAAAAAGTAAATGACAAGCATAAACTATTCTCAAACTTAAAAAAAAATCCATAATATATAATACATAAATGACGAAAAGGTAAATATACATATGAATTGTATAAAAGTAGGATTATACAATGATATTTAAAGAAGATAAATTCAGCCTCTTCTTTACCATGAAAATATAAAAATATTATATCAATCTATAAACATATTTAGAAGTCAATCACCTTCTCATATTCAGATTCAAGAAACTTTGACTTCCTGTCCATCAGCATTGTTCCCTCCTGAAATTAATCAATCATTCAATCAATAATTCAACTTAAATTAAGAAATTCAAAGCATATTGATTGAGTCAAATAAATAGCAATATCGTTATCAAAGCGTATTATATACACCCCCATACCTTTCGTCCATTGAACAAAGTAGCTCATGGACTACTTTAGCCTCAATAAGATCTCCTTTAATTGCAAAGAGCTTAACCATGCATGAATAATTTGTGCAAACTTTAAATTATATATGTACTTTATTGAAAAAACAAGTATCACATTTCATAAATAAATCATGAACATACCTGAGTTGATTCAGTACTATCATGATGAAAATGACATATTTTCCCTAAAGCAGTAACTGCATTATCATATGCCATCACATTCCGAGGGTGGAGAGCATTAGGGTGTCTTATTGCCTCTGTAAATAAAAAAAAATAAAGTATAAAAGTTTGAGTAAATAAAATATAAAAAGTTCAAGTAAATATAAAATAAAACAAATGTTGTGTATTATATTATGTACCTCTAAATTATGGTTTTATAACATAACCATATTACTCTGCACACACTCCAAGTCCATATATAGTTGTCTAAAAAAATAAAAAAATAAAATTATAAGAACACACAACCTGAATCAGTAATTGATAACCGTGCTGACCTGGCAGACATCAGGATTCTCATCATTGCAAGCTTCTAGAAGGAAAGGAAGATATGTATTGTAATACATATTTACATATAAAAAAATTTAATTAAAAATGATAGATTAGTAGACATGATCAAGTACAAAAATGGATATTTTTATGATTTAGAACTGCTTCACGACACTGTTCAGCCACATCATCAAAGATGAAAATAACAATCCTTTTTTCTTCACCTGTTTTTTCCCTTGCCCTTATATTGATAAAAGAGGGAGTCATTATTATATATTAAAAAAATATAACTTGAATAAGTGAATAAAAAACTTCGGCAAAAAGAACTTACCCACATAAGTATCAAATATGAGGACATCTCATCAAACAAAGGCGAGAATGACGCTTTAAATGTTTTTATAAAAGTTCCCAAAATGATGAAGGTTGTAATAATAAGTTAAAGGTTCTCATAAGAAGTTACAAGTGAATGGAAGGCATTCTTCAACGAATAATTAATATCCAAAAAGCATATGTAATAAATAGATGCCAAAAAGCATGACCATTCATTAGTCATTATCAAGAGCCTTGTTAGTATCTCTTCAGCATCACTCACTAAAGTTCTTGAATCACAAAACACAACTCATGTAATGTAACCATAGGTTTTGAGTAAAAAGCATTCTAGGGTAAGGAATTGTTTGTTTTTGGCTTCATGGGGACAAAAAGAAAGAGACTCTTAATGGAGAAAAAGAGAAAGCAGTAATCTGAAATACATGTATTACCCCATGTGTGACTTAAGTTGTCCTAAAGCACAAGTTGTTGCCAATGGAATCACTATAATCTTTAATTTCTGCAATCCATTTGAATACATTCTCATACAACATTTTTGTAGTTGCAAAATCCAACGTTGTATATGACAAAGCATCATTCCCTATAGAGAAATTAATACTTTTTTTTTTATTAAAATGTTCTTGATAATAAATGAGACATGAGGTGTAGGAATTTACCAATTCCTATGTTATCTTTAACTCCAACTAAACAAGATTGGGCTGCATAAACAAAATGTTCCATTAAATTATCATACAAAGAAGAAGATGCAACTATAAGAAATTGTTTACTTGAGCACTGAGCACAGATGATAAGATTTGATGGATAAGTTAGTATGAACCTGCCATTACAGATTGCATTGTTGCCAATATCCAAAGAAAGATCATTGATTAGCTTCTTCAAGTTTCTTGTTCCAACCGCTAAGAATACATTTACCCAAAATCATTGGTTAGTTAAACCTCTTTTATCAAGTAAAACGAAGATTAGTAATATTTGAAAATAAGCAAATCACCTATTTTCATGATCAATCAGAAATGCTTACAACAATAACGAATAGAGATGGCAAAACCATATTTGAACAAAAACAAGTAAAGTCACCTGCAATCCACAAATTATAAAGAAATCAACCAAGAGGGAACACTACAAGAAAATCACTCTTTAGCGGTGATGCTATTACCGGCGACAGGGGCTTTTAGCGGCGACTCTAGAGAGTGTCGCCTGCTAAAACCCCTTGTCGCCGGTAATAGCATCGCCGCTAAAGAGTAATCACCCGAATCCGTGTCTTCCCCTTCCATTACATCTAGACCATTCGATCAATATCAAATCCAACGGTTAGGGTCCCTTATCCGAACTAACCTAATACCGGCGACATATGTGTCACCGCTAAAGGTTGAAATTGTCGCCGCTAATAGTTCACTAAAAATTGACGTGGTATCCTTCCCTCCAGATTGTCGCCGCTATTGATAAGAGTCGCCGATAATAACCTACTAGTTGCCGCTAAAGGCGTCGTTGGTAAAGCTTCACGCAGATAAAAAAAAAAAACGCACGCAGAAACTTCATTCTTCTTAATTGCTTTCTGTTTGCTGCCCTTTTCTCCTTCGCCCCTTATACCTTCTACCGAGTTCATCTTCAATTTTCTTCTTCCATCTTGATTTCTCCATACATTGTGCATATTAAGGGTATTAGGGATTAAGGTGTGATTTGGGACCAATTTCTAAGTCAAGTTCTTGAAGAAATTAAGGTAATTTGATTTGAAAATTTCTTTGATAATTTCCTTGTTAATTTGTATATTAACACTGAAAAAATGTTGATTAAATTTCTAAGTTTTGGTAATTTAATTTGTATGTTACCCTTGCAAATATTGTTGAAGTGATTTGTGACATTTTGGATGGCTCCCAGGTTTTGGATTTGTAGCTTCATCGGGTGAATAACAGTTTTTACATCTATTACCAGTTGATTTCTGCCACTACGGGTTCTAGTATTTCAATTTTTTTGTGAATTTGGTATTTGTATGTGAAAATTGTGTGTATATTTGATATTTGTATGTGAAAATTTTGTGTATATATGATATTTGATGTATGTGGTATATCAATATTTGGTAGAAATATATATATATATATATATATATATATATATATATATATATATATATATATATATATATATATGATGTTATTATCTATATATATGTGAAATTATATGTATTTGTTATAAGTAGGATGTTATTGTGTGTATGTGAATGTATGTATGTTTGTTGTAAATGTGGTATATAATTGTGAAGTTTTTGTATTTGGTATAATTAAGATGTTATTATCTATATATGTGAAATTATGTGTATTTGGTTTAAGTAGGATGCTATTTTGTGTGTATGTGAATGTATTTGTATTTTGTGTATATGTGGTATATGTATGTAAAAATATGTGAATTTCATATTCTTATGTATTATGTAAATGTTATAAAATTGTTAGGGTACTATACACATATTCATGTTTGAATTGGATATTTTTTTGGGGGGGTTTGAACTTTGAATTCGATATTTTATTATGGCAAAGTGTTAAGAAGGTAGCGTACGATACATGTAATTATTTATTTAAAATATAATCTAATTTTTAAAGTTAAACAGAACTTTAAGAGAGTGGAAACGTTTCACAGAACTCATACCGATAATAATGGTCTATTTGTTACTGCTGAGGCGGAACAACAATATGTAAGTATTTAATTATAATTTTATCATATAATTAAATATTTATTTATACTTAATTGTTACTCACTTTTGGGAGTTACGGAATCGGTTACTTGAAGAGCTGTTAGAACAAACTCAAGGTGAAAGTCAGTTAACACCCACTCAAGAAAGAGTTGCGTTTGAAAAAGTATTAGGAGAGCGATGTGGCATATTAGAGGCATTGGTCGTAAACCTTCTGCTTTCCCACCGATTCCACAGCCTTCGCAACCACCACCACAACCATCACAACCATCACAGGTAAAACAATCTACTTTGGTTTTGTGGTGATTATTTGCTAAAAAGTTTCGTAATTATGTTATTGTCCCAAGTGCAAAAAATAACAACGTACTTTGGTTTTTTGTCTTAGTTTAGAATTAGCAATCTACTTTAGCATCGTAAAATGCATGTTGATTTGGTAATATTGGTTTTGTGGTGATTATTGGCTAAAAAGTTTGGTAATTAGGTTTTTGTCCCAAGTGCAAAAAATAACAACATACTTCGGGTTTTTTTTTTTTTTTTTTTTTTTTTTTTTTTTTTTGTCTTAGTTTAAAAATAACAATGTATTTTGGTAGTTTTTGTTTACGTTTGATAATTTAACTTATAAGTTTATATATGTTGTTATTAAATATGTAGTTGGAAAATCTTCGTGCGATGCTCAACGACCCGACATGTAGGGATGAGCTTTACTCGTTTTTTCAATCCCAAAATAATCAAGAAAATGATGGGAATGAAGATGATGGTACGTAGGGATGAGTTTTATTTGCATACGTTGTCACCCTTTGCTACTTCATAGATTGTAAAACTTTGGTTGTTTTTTGTAATTACCGGTGACACTAATACAGGGCGACATTATTACTTTTAATATTTAATCGGATATTATCACTTTTGATATTCAATTAATTATAATCGGATGTTTGTTATGTAATTAGCGTCGACAATATTATTTTTGATATTTAATCGAATGTTGTTATATAATTACCGACGATATTATTACCGGCAACCAAAATATTTAATTAAAAAAATAAAAAAAAATTGTTATTACCGGTGACACTATTACCGGCGACACACATTAATACTGGTGACAGGCATCATTAGCGGCGACAATTTCATCAATAGCGACGAAACAGTAGCGGCGACTTATTACCGGTGACGCGTCGCCACTATTGCTATTACCGGCGACAACCCCACTTATTACCGGCGACTTTTTTCGCCGCTAATAATCGTTTTCCTTGTAGTGGAAGGTTTGAACTCTACAAATTGATTGCACCAAAAACAAGTAAAGTACCTATAGCCATCCAAAATCATTCATGATCAGTAAATCATGTTGCAAATTTTGCATCTTCAATCCAAATTGATAGTTTAGAGTAGTTTTAGGATCTTCAATATAAGAAACAAAAGCACATGATTACATTGTCCAATTAACTAGTCCATATATTGCCAAAAGCTCGTTAGGTTCAAGGGGAAACCCTAATAACATTATCTCATGTAATGAAAAAATATCAAGATGTTATAGAGTTGGAAGAGATAATCTTCTTTAGAACGTTTTGCTTTATATCATCCAGAACAACCAAATAAAAAAACCTTGATAAGATTTATAATTTAAGAGATATGTGTTGATAATGAACGGAATTTGGATTTCCCATGTGACGGTTGAAAGAGAGGTATGGAGACAACCTCATAGCATGGCTCGAATTCAACAGTTTGGTAGAATGGATGAATAAACAAAAATGCAGCTGATTGTAAACTATGTGCTAATTTAATGATAGGAAATCAAGTTTTTTTGTTTGTTGAGAAATTCATGTTACTAGTTGTGTTGATTTTAGCTACTATTAGTATTTGCTAGAATGGAATTGGGGAGCCGATTGATTAGAAATCTGATGAAGAACATAAATTAGGGTTTGATGAAATAGGATCAAACTGAGAAAAATTGAAAAGAAAGAAGATGATGAAATAGAACTAATTGATTAAACGATAACACAATCTAAAAGATTGCCCAGGGAATCTCCCTCTCTCTAAGCCGAAAGCTTGTGAGCCAATACAAAGTATTACACTATCAAATTTCTCGACATCCCCTACTATGATCTTTCTCTCCATTTATTATAATCCTAGCCCAACATAGATGAATTTCCTAATTTACCCCTTATAGTATTTAACCATCTAATTCCTATCAAAATTGAACAAATGATTAGCAGGAAAGTGATGTATGTAACATGAGAGTAATAGATGTAGCTACATCGATGGTTAGAGTGGAGAAAAGATTACCTATTTGACTTCAAGTGGAGAATAGAGGTGCTTTGATGGGAGGGTATGGAGCGACGATGGACCGATGGCGATAGGCAGTCACTGATGGACCGACGACGATAGGTAGACGATGATGGACCGGCGACGCTGGATGTTAGTATGTCGATTTAGGGTAAACTATGATGATTGATCTGTTGACGAGAAGCGAGATGCCCTTCCACTGAGTTTGAACGTTACGATGAAAAAATGATCTCAACTTTTTCCGGGTAGTATAGTAAATATGTTTGGTAAAAGGGTTTAGGTTAGTCGATTGTTTGGTACTCGTTGACAGTCAAATGGTTACCAGACTCCATGAACATGAAATGCTTATAAGCCCTTATTGCATGTGTCCTTTAAAGCAATCATGTGCACCAACGTACATATCCCATAAGTTCAGACACACAAATTCCATATTTATGAGCTGTCAAGAATATTTCCTTTACATATCTAAAGTTGCTAAATCCTACCGAAGTTATATCTTGTTATGCAACAAGTACAACTAGGTAATGCACATTTATTTGGAAGTGCATAAGACGTTTCTTGCCTGATGCTTGTTGCAATTTACCACCCCATTGTATTTTTGTGTTTGCATAACGTACAACACCCAAATCATATATTGTTTAATTCTTAATTGAAAATTGTGACTACTATTTTGTGGTCACTATAATTGTTTTCATTTTATAATTCACTATTTTTTGTCACTAAGCCTCTAACATAATGACCATTATTTTTATTCACTAATAGTTGTTACGATATGAAAAAAAAACATTTTAATTCTTTTCACGTTTTAGTGACCGATTTAGTGACCACCACATGGAATTGGTCATTAAATTTGTAGGATTACCAAAATTCAATGATGACTTAATGCCTGGTGACTAAATGATGCTGTTAGTGATAAAATTTTAGATCGTCACTAAACAATTGGTCACTAATAAGGACTTTTCTTGTAGTGAAAAAAGTAAAAAAATTTTGTATGTATTTTCATGATTGATGATTGACTGCTGAATTTGCTTCTTTATTTTGGGTGATGAGAAGAAGCCTTTGGTTGTAATTTTTGTATGATGCTGAAGTTGATTCTGACTGTAATTTGCTTCTTGATTCTTGAAGAGGAAAAGAAGATTGATGCTGTCTAAAGGCTGTTAGGAATTTGAAAAAAAAAAGGAGAAAACTATTGAAGAGTAGAAAGTTTGAGAAGCAAAACCAAGACTCTGATACCATAAAGGAATTGAAGACGAGGAAGATGAACAATATTCAGTATTAAACATATTTCATGATTTTTTTATGTGTTAAATTGGTTGATACATTGTATTTTTAACTAAAGTAGAGATAACCCTATTCTACTTCTTATACCTATCTATTGGCATATAAATGCGATCAAAATACTCGACGCATCCTAAACAAACCAAAACTCTAATTTGGCAGATTAGCTAACATCTTTATTAAGTAGAATGTTGTAATACACTATATATATATATATATATATATATATATATATATATATATATATATATATATATATATATATATATATATATATATATATATATATATATATATACACACACACGCAAAGAACTTTCCTCATTAAGAATACGACATTGGCCAGCCATTGAAGTCTTTTCAGGTAAGAACATAGAAAACATGATGTACTTTCACCATTTTATTTACTGTTTTCTTGAGCATGCGTACTTGTTTTTGGAACATTCAAATCCTGTTGCAGTTGTTTAATTAATCTTATATCTTAATGCAGATATTGATTCAATTCTCTAAGGCAGAGCGCTCGAAACATTGAAAGGTACCCCCACGAGGTCTACAAATGGTAGTGTACAAGAGAAACCTCAGAGAATACAAGTTTGGATGGATTGAGATTCACCACCTCTTGAATACAAGAGTTGCTTACACAAAGCAGTGGTAAGAACAAAACTCCTAGATTTTACGTGGTCTACTTTTCTTAATTTCACTCATAAGCATTACACAACATATCTTTGATAGGGTATAATCGCTATAAATGATGTTCAATAGTGGCTTATGCAGAGAGCTATGTGGGCGGACTTGGGCATTAGTTGTAAGTTTGTTGGGTATTGTTCTAGAAACTCAGATGCACAATTGTGATGACTAGTCAACTTTTGTATTAGATTTTTCTGCATGTTTTTTTTTTTTTTTTTTTTTAAATTGGATTTTAAATGTTTTGTTTTAAATCTGCACTATTTACAGCCTGATTAACCACGAAATTTGTCAAAAATTGTTTGAAAATCTATCACTATCACTAAATGACTATGTTCGTTAGAATGTTGTCTCAAACATGTTGGTAGGAAATCTTTGGGAAAAATAAAAAAATAAATGTCAAGAAAATTGTCCAAATGCCTTTTTTATTATAACTAACTCAAACATAACCTTAATTAGGCAAACTTGACACCACATAGAAAGCATTTAACATTTACATAGAACAACAACAAAAAAACTTACATAAGTTCCCATCGGACCATGAACTTTTAGACGAGTTGCTCGATCTACTCCACTTTAACTCCACTTTATTTTGTGTTCAAGGCCTTGTTCAAGACATGAAACGAAATCTGAAAATTTGATCAAGCATTGTAATTTTCCTCTAAGTTTCACAGTTTCTTGCTGATGCAATAACCCACAAGATTGAAGAAAGCAAGTCTCCATCTGTTCTTAAGCACCAGAATTGCGACAATTCCCATAAACCCGGTTGTGAAACCACCTGTTGCACCATAAATCCATATGTTCTCATCGCCATCATCGGCTTCATCTTCCTCAGAACTTCTTCCAATTTCTGAGACATCATCATGGCTGCACTTGATCGGCAACGGACTACCACAAAGCTCATTATTACCAGCATATATGGATGGATCAATGAGTGTCTGGAGCTGACTTCCTGTTGGAATTCTTCCTGATAAGTTATTGTGTGACAAATTCAGATGGCTAAGAAACGTCAATGCCGACAGACTTTGTGGGATCATCCCTGAAAGATGGTTTATGGAAAGATCAAGAGACATTAACGATTTCATATCACCAATTCTTTCCGGAATATGACCAGTGAGTTGATTTTTTGACAGGTTAAGACCAAGCAATCCGGTAAGAAGTACCAACTCCTTGGGTATTTCCCCCACCAGTTTATTGCACGAAAGGTCCATGTTGACAACGTAACTCAATGTCGTTGTATACTCTAGCACAACTCCTTGCATTACTTGGGTTAAACTCAGTTCGTATGAGCGTGAAAAAGAAATACTGATGTGGCCTCCTGTGATCATTCCACTTAAGTTCTTGAAACAGCGAGGGATGGTTCCTGTTAATTTGTTTTCTCCAAGATCCATGATTTGGAGGGTGGATCTTTCACACAACTCTACAGGAATTGGACCTGTGAAGCTGTTTTTATGTAGCCTGAGGACAACAAGCTCCTTCATATTTTCACCAATCCATTTTGGTACACTTCCAGAGAATCTGTTTTCACCCAAATCCAACAAAGCTAAACTTGTGCAATTTGCTAGAGTTTTTGGAAGTTCACCTTGGAAACTATTGTTGTTTAGAGATAACCATTGTAGCGATGACCCAAGATTCCCGAGAGAGCTTGGAATGACACCCGAGAGCTGGTTAGAACTTAATATCAGAACCTGCAGGTTTGGAAGAAGTCCGAAGCACTTTGGAAGAGTCCCAGAAAGCATATTTCTAGAAAGATCAAGAACCATTATATATGACATCATATTACACAATAAATCTGGAATTGATCCATTGAAGAGGTTGTTCTTAAGAAGCAATATATCTAACACTATAGAACAGTTTGGGCTGTGGCTGGATACAAGGTTTGTCAATGGACCGTTGAGAAAGTTATTGGAGAGAGCCAGGAACGAGAGAGGAAGCTCGACAAGCCAATCGCCAAGCCAATCTGGAAGAGGTCCAGAAATACTAGTATTGGAAAGGTCTAGATATTCAAGACATGTTTGTGCTCGAATCCATTCTGGAAATTCTGATTCAATTTTGCAAGATCCAAGTCGAAGGCTTGATATTTGGAAAGGAGGCTTCCAATTGGGCGAAATCTTGAACCTCAACCTGTAGTTTGAGGTTGCATCAAAGAATTCTAACATTGATGTGTTTGTGAAGTGGGCTTCAGTGACTATACCTGATAAAGAATTGTTCGATATATCTAGATATTCAAGTTTGGAAAGTCGTCCAATGGTAGGAAGAGGCCCTTGTAAATGGTTATTTGATATATCAAGATGCCTGAGTTCTGAGAGGTTTCCAAGCGATAATGGAAGTGCAGACAACCAATTGTAGTAGAGATACACAAATTCTATATTGGATAGCTGTCCTAGTGAGAATGGTATGGTCCCGTTCAACAGGTTCCAAGATAAATGTAGTTCTTGTAACAACAGCAGGTTTCCAATTGATGTAGGAATCGAACCTGTTAATTTGTTCCAAGGTAGATATAATTCCCGCAAACTTGTTAAATTTCCTAAAGATTCCGGGATGGTTCCTGTTAACTCGTTCCATCCAAGATTCAACTTTCTCAAGGACGTAAGCCTTCCTAGTGATGTCGGGATTTTTCCACCAAACTTGTTGTAATGTAGATCCAGTGTCTCCAGATCAAATTGGACACATTCGGATCCATTTGTTGATGGCCCAGTCAATTCCCCTTCTATAAAATTAAATGAAAGATCCAAGTGTTTTAACTGACAAAGTCTCCAGAGCCCAGAATCTTGGATACTCCGAAAATGGTGGTTTCTGACAGACAGGATTTCTAGATTTGACAGTTCTCCCGGAAGGAATGTAATCGTCCCATTTAAAAGGTTTACAGATAAATCTAGTTTTTGTAACCGCAGCAGGTTTCTGATAGAAATCGGAATCGAACCTGTTAAATGGTTATCATCCAGACGTAATTCCCGCAAACTTGTTAAAGTTCCTACAACTTCAGGGATGTTTCCTGTTAACTCGTTCCCTCCAAGATTCAACTCTCTCAAGGCTTTAAGTCTACCCAGTGAGGATGGGACTTCACCAAGTAACATGTTGTCATTTAAATTCAGTGTCTCCAGAGAAAATTGAGCGCATTCGGATACATTGGTTGATGGCCCCGTGAACCTCCCTCCCATAGAATTGTACGAAAGATCCAACCGCTTCAACCCACAGATCCAAGTATCTTGAACGTTGTTCATGAACGGGATTGAAGAATTCAGTTGGTTGAATGAAAGATCAAGAACTTGTAAAGAGCTCAAGTTTCGTAAAAACAGAGGGAACTGGCCTTGGAGGAAATTGGAATGAAGATCAAGTGTTTGAATGGTAGAGCGCGTAAGATTCAATTCAAGATGCATGCGATGGAAATGAGAATTAGAAAGATTGCACCCGGACAAGCTCAACTCTCGTAAAGAAGAAATCATACACAACAGCACTTTGTGTAAGTTTGGAGCATTAACAACGCTCAGCCCCACTCAGATCAAGAGATTTGAGTGATAAAAGACTCGAGAACCATGAGAATTCATCAACAACTAGTTCCATATTACTCAGATCAAGTACCCGCAAATTCGATAGATTTCCAATAGAGTGAGGAACGATGCCAGAAAAGCCCATGGAAGAAAGATTCAGATACCTGAGTTTTGTCAGCGATCCGATGAACTCAGGAATGGGGCTGCCACCAAAATAATTCCCACTGAAATCAATGTAACTCAGATGACTCAACTCGGCCAAAGACGAATTCACTCATTTCCCTCTAACTTCTCATCAGAAGAATCGGTTCCGAGGTCAAGCCTTGTAACATATCCTGTTGCATTATTGCAGTCAACGCCTTGCCAGTTGCAACAGTTGTTTCCATTCCAAGATGATAGTCGACCAGAAGGGTCCGACAGGTTGTGTTTGAATCGAAGAAGAGCTGCCCTCTCGTGTTCGAAGCATCCAGAAGTGAGGTTTGTGGTTGCAAAAGTGAAGAGGAGAAAGAGCCCACCCATCCATAGTTTACTCATGATTACTGTTTCTTCATGAAGACACCAATGATGAGGTCAAGATTTATAGATATATGCCATTTCCATGCACAGAACACGTAATATTCAAATTCTGCTTTTGCCTAAAGCATCCACTAACCCTTATCTTGAAAAAAGTACACTTTACACATCATGGATCTATTACATGTTACCACGTAAAGAAACATCTTTTCTAAAATATCTTTACACAGACGCACAAAAACAGTAGCGGTCCAGCAGATCCGAATATATTCAAGCATGTTGTAATGTAACCATCGGGTCATAATTATTAATTAATTCATAGAGCTTAACAATAAAAGTCTGGCTCACTAATAGTTATTTGCAAATTGTGGGCCAGTGGGGTTGTTTTCCTCGAGATATTAGTGTTATAAGTGTCACTAGTACACAAGTGAGTTAATAAGACGCACCAATATTATTAATTGGTGCGGGTAACGAACTGCACCATCAAATACCACATCAAAAATATCATTATTTGTTGGTTAGGTTCCCCACCACACTAGAAAATGGTGAAAATGGTGCAAACTGCACTTTGAAAAATTCGTAGTGTTATAAGTGTCACTAGTAAGTGGTGATGCCAACCGTAACCGGTGTCAAAATCCTTGGGTACAGAATCCAATTAAACTACAGTCGGTACATCATATGCCGAATTGGTTGAAGAAAGGAACTCTCATTGGCGAAGCAAAATCATTCGATCATCTTGGACATATCCAATCCTTGCTGAAGATGTGAAATGATGAAGACTTTGAAATCAAGTACATGGGTGGTCTAAAGGTTGTGCATCATTTTCCCATATCAGTCGAAGCTGATGCCTTTCTTAAACACAAGAACAAATGGGTGTATTGCTTTAACTGGATGAGATAAAGGTATATGGACGAACGAAACACTAATAGAGTAGCTTGGATCAGGATCAATGGACTACCAATAAATCTATGGAGTGAAGACAATTTCAGTCAAATATTAAAAAATTTTGGTCGCATTATCTCGAACTTCAATGATATTTCTTCTAGGGTGGACTACTCTTATATTAAAATTGGTATACTCACTGAGTACCATTTAAAGATCAATGATGCTGTTAAGATTTCAGCATATGGTAAAACCTTCGATGTGGCTATTGTCGAATTTGAGGATCAGTACTGGTACTCGTTCGAGTTCGATCCTCCGAATCATTCAGAACACAAAAGTGTGCGTCAGGTGAACGAGAAAAACAAAAAGATTCTAATACGTCTTCTTCGATGGTGTCGTCCCCGCCTCCATCTCCTCCGTCGCCGCCGTCGGCTCGGGAAAACGTGGACTCAACGACTAACAACTTGGAGGTAGTAGTCGAATTGTTGCCTAGGGAATCGTCGTCGATAGAATCAAGGAAACGACGACAATATATTGAGCACAATTTTGATATATGTGTTGATCCAATCCTTGAATCTGGTGTGCTAAATGTTTGGCCAGTGTCAATGCCAATTGGGCCATTAAAATCCCTAGCCAGGAAGGCTGTTTTGGGCCCTTCTCATTCTCAGTTAGGATTAGACCTTTGGACTTCAATAATAGATCCTTCGAAAAAAACCAAGCCTATTTCTGCTCTATCCCCCCGTTGTTTGGTGGTGAAACAATTTTAGGTGCCACTCCTCTTCCAGACCTCAATCATAGCTTAGGTAGACATCATATGCTAGGACAAACTCATGAAATCACAAAAGAGTCTACAGCTACCAAAGAGAAGATCCAAACAGTCGCCATAAGGTATGAATTAGGGTTTGATGTTGAGGTAGATAGCCTAGTTCTTGCTGAAATTATGGGTGAATCATGTGAGCATGCTGGTGTCTAATGAATTGCTTGACACTAAACATCAGAGGTATTGGTTAGCACTATAAAGTAAGTTGGGTAAGACATCTTAAAAATCAACATAGTTTATCGTTTATCTGCATCCAAGAGACCCAATTGGTTAACTTGGAGGATGTTAATGTGGAAGGATGTCGGGGTAATGGTAACTTCGACTTCGATGGTGTTGGATCTCATGGTAGATCTGGTGGGTTGGTAAGTATTTGGGATAATTCTCTATTCCATTGCTTTGAAACCATAAAATCCCATTATTTTCTTATTACAATTGGGAACTGGAGAGGATTGAGAGACAAAATAGAAAAAGCAAATATATATGGTCCACAGTTGGTCGTAGACAAAGAGAAACTGTGGAGTGACCTTGTTCAAATCAAGCATGATAAACAAGGCATATGGATCTTCATGGGAGACTTTAACATCTTCAGAAGACCAGAGGAAAGAGTTTACTCTCAATTTTGAGCTAAATCTACCTTTAAGTTCAATAGATTATATTCGAAACTCGTCTTACGGATCATAGAATGGATGGGAACAAATTCACTTACTTTTGTAGTGGTGAACTCAATCTTAGCAAGTTAGACCGTATACTTTTATGTTCAAACTTCACTGATGCTTTCCCCTCCTCAATAGTCACTGCTCTACCTAGAGAAAATTCAGATCATTGTCCGGTTTTGTTGACTACTGAAGTGGTGGAATTTGGTCCTCCTCCGTTCAAACTATTCAACTCTTGGTTTCAGAAAGATGGTTTTAATGAGACAATCACACAAGCATGGTTGGAATTTAGAGGTTACGGTACTCCTGACTCCTATTTGGCGGTTAAGTTAAAACATCTGAAAAATGAGATTAAGGCATGGAGGAGACTGGATTACCCTAAGGAACTATCTGATCTTAAAAAGTTTAAAGATCGTTTACAAGAGCTAGACTAAAGTGTTGAATCTAGAGTTCTTAGTGATGATGAAATCTCGGAGAGTAGAAACCTATTCCAAAAAAATCTGAGACGGAAAAAAATAATGCCCAGGACTTGAAGCAAAAATCTAGAATAAAATCGATTGTGGATCGGGATGAAAGTTCTAAATTCTTTCACACCTTTGTCGATAATAAAAAAAAGGAAAAACATAATAAATGGGCTGCTAATAAATGGTGAGTGGAAAATAGAACCAAATGCGATAAACTGCGCGAGGTCTTCCTATTCTTCGAAAACAAGTTTTCTGAACGATGGTATCTAAGACCTAAACCAACGAATGAAAACCTCAAATCCATATCATCCACTAACGTTAGTTTGTTAGATGTAACGCCCGTGTTTCTGGGCTTGCCATTTTTAGCAATGTAATACTCTAGGTTAACCTTTCTAACTAAATTTGAAATAATAAAAATGTATTATTTGTGAACTATGTGAATTATGTGTTTATTTTCTTGATTTTTATAATTTAACGAATTAAGAATAAAATAAGCATCAAAATTAAAGTGCGAGATACGCCCGATATCTTTGCATAAAGTTGTAGTGGTTGAAACAAGGATTCCGGAGATATAAGGAATGCCAAAATCCGAGTTATAACGAAGAAGTTATGACCTGTCGAAGTTTCAAGACAGAACCGGCACGACGCCGAGTGACGTAAAATATGAATTTGAGATAGAGCGATATTTAGCCTTAGCGATCTAAACGAAAGTCGTAGATTTCATTAAACCGAGAGCGTGCATAAAAGGAACGCCCAAATCTGACTTCGTATGAGGAAGTTATGATTTTCTGAAGTTTCGACGTGGCAGTATGCAGCCCGAATACTCGATTTGAGATCGAGCGGTTTTTAGCCGAAACAATCTAAATGAGAGTCGAAGATCGTGTTGTTAGTGGCGAAACAATGAAAAGTTAGGCGAGAACGGACGTCAGACGAAGAAGTTATGAATTTAAAATGAAGTTTTTCTGTCCCGGCCTTCTAAAAATAAATAATAAAAATAAAAGTAAAAAATTAGCCGACGGAGTCTAAATGAAATTTGTAGAGTATAGTCTGACCTTCGCGTGGATATAAAGAACGTCGAAAACGGAGCTCGTATGCGAAACTTACGCAATTTAGAAGTTTGACAAGTCAATTACGCCCCGCGTAATTTGAGTACGCCCCGCGTACTCAGTCGGTTGCAACTTGTCTGACCGATACTCGAGTGCCACCAGTCGACGCACGCAGTGACGTCAAAGTACGCCCCGCGTAACCCGAGTACGCCCCGCGTAATTTGAGTACGCCTCGCGTAATCCCAGACCCAACAGCCTATAAATAGAACTCGAATTCAGCCATTTTCTCTTGTTCAAACTCTTCCCTCTCTCTAAGTTTTGCCTCGTTTTGCATGCTGTTTATACCCCAAAGCCCCGGTAATATTCCCGAGCCCCGAAGTAAGATCCGAAGCCCCGAGGATCCCGAAGAGCGTTATTCCCGAGCCGAAACGCTGCCCGCGAGGAGCCCGGTTTTGTGAAGATCTTCCAGATCTACGGAGAAACACCTCTTCTGCAAGCCGTAGTGCTGCCCGATCATCTTTTGATCAAGTGAGTGTGTAGTTATTTTCATTCCAACGCAATATTATGAAGTATTTCCTATCAAACACGTGTTATGTGTATATATTTGGTTGTTATACGAGTGAGTGTATATTCACTCTCTTCTATCTTATAGATCTGATGTATTCTTTATAAAATACGTGTTATGTGTGTATGCCTCATCTGTTATGTGGAATATGTATTGCTTAAAGCATGTTATACAGGTTTTTAAACTATGTATAAAAATGTATATTTTTATCTACTAATATGTTAGGGTTGAACATGGGTAGATAATTGGTGTGTAATAAACATATGAGAGGCCTCGGTGTTATTGGTGTTATTCTAGTCATTCAGCAGAGTATGGATGACGACCACGAACTATTCTAGACTGTCCTGTGGAACACTAGCAGGCTCATTACCTGTAGGTGTTGTGAACGACGTGTTCACCGGTGTACTCTATCCCCCACATGGTTGCCTTTAGGACACTTATTGTTGAGGAAGCCCCTCTGCAGTGATGTCCGTCCCGATGAAAAATCCTGAAATAGGTTCCTTATAATAGACGTTATTTTTAGGAACGTAAGGTGAGGATAACGGGAATGGGTAATCGGGTTTATTGTTGATTGTT